AAAAAATTAGAAGGTCTAGATCTATACTTTCAAAACAAAATGCGCCTCGCAAAATATCACTTCCGGCACTTAATCTGCGGTGAAGGACACCTACGTAGATTTGTTTCGTTTCTCAGTGGAATAATTTCAAAGGCCAAAGAAGGACGAAAACTCTTGGTCATAATAATATATATTTTTCTAAATTCATGAAATGAATAAATCAATATATGACGACGTTTCTATCTTTTTGTAGGTACTTGCCAACTTTCAACTTTGTAGCTGTCGTAGTTTTATGGGAAAAGTTAAACAAGTGTTTCCAAGTTGCCAAACATAATATAATAAATATCGCTATCTTAGAATTCTTAGTGGTTAGGCTACCGGACTGGTAATCTTGAGATTGCGGGCTTAGGGGTTCGAGCCTCAGCTCGGTCTGATTTTGTGTCCTTGGGAAAGGCGCTTTACACGAATGTCCCAAGCGGCTCGGTTTTTTTCTGAGATGGAAGAAAAACTTGGAGGTTCCACCTCTTAAATTATAACATAAGAGTGATGATAGAGGCGTTAAACCTATACCATTTTCCCCTTAGATTTACAAAATTCTATCTGCTTGGCACCTAGTTTTGATAAATCTGACGCCATAAATTTTGAGTTTTTACACCAAGTCCAGCTTTTTCGAATGCAATTCTTTGAATATCTTGATAACGACTCCGATCAACTTGACTTTATTGATAGAACAGACAGAGCATTTGGTTATGACATCATGGTCTTAGTAATTCAAAAAAGCCATAAATGTCTGATATAATTTTGTACTTTTAAGTAAACGACATGTTATTGATTATTAGTGGTTTACGCCCATATTTGCAAGGCTTAGATCTTTAAGCAGAGGTGATAAATCAACACTGCCGATCACTGATCACCCCCAGCTCCGAATGAGTAGGGCACAACACTTCAGCCCACAGAATGATTACCTCGGTACACATTCTCCCGTGCCCAGTGCGCCTATCTACGCCCCGCATCTTTGTTTTTGTCCTATTTTCTTCAGCCATGATTTAACGATTTTAACCCGTATTTGTCCCACTTTTTGTCAGCCACGATTTTACTCGTTTCGATCCCACAACATAACTTCGGTGTAACCCATTATCATTCTATATCTACAACCGACCTCTCAAGTCGATATCATGTATTCATTTTCTTCCTCTCATTTCAGTTCTCGGGTCATGCCATTAAGGAGTTCATGACGTCACTTAGAGAAAATATGACGTTTGCTATCTTGAAGAGCATCACTGACGCCGGTCTGGGCAACGATGGCAAAACTAGGGTTTACATCGATGACGTCATAGGAGTCAAGGATTTAGATAGCAAGGGAAAACCAAAGGTCAGTTTCCTTTGAGAAACACCGTTAACATTTCAGGTAGTTCTATCTGCTCAGTACGTAATTTTGAGAAATCTTACGCAATAAGTTTTGAGTTCACATCAAGTCAAGCTTTGTCGAATGCAGTTCTCTTGAATATCATGCTAACGACTCCGATCAACCTTACAAAGAGTTGAAAGCAGGGTAAAACAAATTTTACAGTAGAACCTGTCCAAACAGCCATCTATCTGAGACAGTCACCTGTTCAAATAAGATTACTTCTCATGTTCCTATACATGATTTTAAAAATATCATAATGACACAGCTTTTTTTACCTCGACAGTTTAGTGTGGCCGTTCTGGATAGTTTCGACTCTACTCTTACAGACGAAAACTCTAGTTTTAAGTAAAATATTTTGGAAATCACTTTGAAACATTTGACAAACTTCATTTAATGACGTTTTGTATCATTACACTGCTTGTGAGGTGGAGGGTGGGTTAAGATCGTCTGTCAAGACGCAAAAGTCCATATTAGAAGACAAATCTCCATCTATTACTAACATTGTTAGGGACACAATCATCTCTTACATGTACTTTAATATTGGGTTAAACAAATCATCATCTGTTGTTTCTTTTCTACTGTGAAGTACAAACCATCAGCCGACTTTTTTTTACCCCAGTGCTTTTATGTCTACTGTTATTGACCATCATCTGCTTTGTTCTTCAACTGTGATAACTAGACCTTCACCTGCTATTTCACCTTTATGTTTTAGATGAAAAATCATTATTTGTCTGTGGGTGGTCGGCGGGTGCTCTGGTGTGGTTTGCTTCTTCTTTCGTATCAAATATCTTCTTCATCTCCCCTCTTTTTATGTTTGTTACTCTCTTGTCACACCTCTAATCTTCGGCACTTATATGACCATATTGTGTATGTTGCAAGTGCCTTAAAACACTTACTAAAACTAAAACATGATCTGTCTCTTGCCCAGGTTTCGGGGGACGACCGGGTGTTCACATCGTCCATGGCCATCAACGCTCTCATTGCCACCTGGACAAAGCAACAGCCGGACGGCAGTCTAAAGTTCGTGAAAAGTGAGTCGCAATTTCCGCCGCACTTGCCACTCTGTCTCTGTCGCGCTCTCTCTCTCTCTCTGTCTCTCTCTCTCTCTCTCTC